ACAAGAGTCAGTTGTATCATGTTAAAATTAGCTATAGCTGATATCAGTAGTTAAGCAATAAAGTCTTATAAAATCGATTCTTTCCAATTTCTGTTACACCTTCAGTAGGTGAGTACGTGACGAACGGGGTTCGCCCCCCAGGGTCAATGGCCACAAACTTTTCATGTTCTGTTTTGGTCTTTCATGGGCCCATGATAGGGTCCAATCGTTTGTTTTTCGACGATAGGTAACCTTGCAATCACAATTGATTATTTTAAATGGCCATTTGTTATGTTTTCATTGGGTTTCGAAATGTAAAGGCTGTAGGTCTCTCTTGTTTTGTGTGATGATGCAGGGTTTCTTTCTTGGCATGCGCATCGATTGGTTGTGTAGGTACGACACATAGAAGTGATTCCAATCCCTTCTCGAAAAATTTCGTGATTGGATGCTGATGGTATGTGCAAGATCCTTCTTTGACTTGAATTTTAATGTGGATTTTTTATCGCTCTGATAATTTTTGATCGCCTCATCCACTGTTTCATTGATGATGTTATTGGGGATCTCTTCATAAACACCTTTAAGCTTGAGCATGACGTACACGAGATAATGAAGGTACTGGGTGCTCAAACAGTTGAGGTAAAGTCGGGTGGGTGTTTTTATTATTTGCGATGGTAAATTCAGTTGCCCTTGCGGATTTGGTTGCATCTGCACCTGCACCTGAATACATGGTTTGAGGTGGGCGACCACTGTGTTATAGATCAATCTCGTCGCAATTGTTTCTGAGCATGATTCGGGTACAATCTCACGTTCAGTGTTCTGTTCACACTTTCATCTATTTTTCTTTTTTTTTTCTCACTGTCGAGACCTTTCTTCTTTCTTTCCTTTCTCTTCGATGTTGTGCGGCTCTTCTTCCTTGCATTCTGCAGATGAAGACGGTGTTGATGACAAGGATATCTTCGGATAGCTCGGGTTCGTCGGTTGTTGAATCGTCGAAGAGAACCACAAGTTTCGTAGCATGGAGGGAGAAGCATTTGAGGAGCTCGTACGCGAGCTGACATTATCGGTCTCGATGGGTAACCACAATCTCTCCGACAAGACCCTTGCTCGATCGTTCCAATACGGTTTGCAAACCCTTT